TCCCTCATTATCCCAATTACAATTAGCAGATAAAAGGTCCAGAGTTCATTTCAAGTGTGCTATTTGCATTTGGAATCTGTTGCTGTCAACTCTCAAGATGAGATCCAAAGAGCTGTCACTATCAGTGAAGCAAGCCATCAGTAGGCTGAAAAAACAAAACAAACCCATCAGAGAGATAGCAAAAACATTAGGCGTGGCCAAAACAACTGTTTGGAACATTCTTAAAAAGAAGGAACGCACCAGTGAGCTCAGCAACACCAAAAGACCCGGAAGACCACGGAAAACAACTGTGGTGGATGACCGAAGAATTCTTTCCCTGGTGAAGAAAACACCCTTCACAACAGTCGGCCAGATCAAGAACACTCTCCAGGAGGTAGGCGTATGTGTGTCAAAGTCAACAATCAAGAGAAGACTTCACCAGAGTGAATACAGAGGGTTCACCACAAGATGTAAACCATTGGTGAGTCTCAAAAACAGGAAGGCCAGATTAGAGTTTGCCAAACGACATCTAAAAAAGCCTTCACAGTTCAGGAACAACATCCTATGGACAGATGAGACCAACATCAACTTGTACCAGAGTGATGGGAAGAGAGGAGTATGGCGAAGGAAAGGAACTGCTCATGATCCTAAGCATACCACCTCATCAGTGAAGCATGGTGGTGGTAGTGTCATGGCGTGGGCATGTATGGCTGCCAATGGAACTGGTTCTCTTGTATTTATTGATGATGTGACTGCTGACAAAAGCAGCAGGATGAATTCTGAAGTGTTTCGGGCAATATTATCTGCTCATATTCAGCCAAATGCTTCACAACTCATTGGACGCCGCTTCACAGTGCAGATGGACAATGACCCAAAGCAGACTGCAAAAGCAACCAAAGAGTTTAAGGGAAAGAAGTGGAATGTTATGCAATGGCCAAGTCAATCACCTGACCTGAATCCGATTGAGCATACATTTCACTTACTGAAGACAAAACTGAAGGGAAAATGCCCCAAGAACAAGCATGAACTGAAGACAGTTGCAGTAGAGGCCTGGCAGAGCATCACCAGGGATGAAACCCAGCATCTAGTGATGTCTATGCATTCCAGACTTCAGGCTGTAATTGGCTGCAAAGGATTTGCAACCAAGTATTAAAAATTGAAAGTTTGATTTATGATTATTATTCTGTCCCATTACTTTTGGTGCCTTAACTAGTAGGAGGCACATATGCAAACTGTTGTAATTGCTACACCGTTCACCTGATTTGGATGTAAATACCCTCAAATTAAAGCTGACAGTCTGCAGTTAAAGCACATCTTGTTCGTTTCATTTCAAATCCATTGTGGTGGTGTATAGAGCCAAAAATGTTAGAATTGTGTCGATGTCCCAATATTTATGGACCTGACTGTATATATATATATATATATATATATATATATGGACATGTTTACACAGAGTGTTGCTTTTTATATTATTTGTGTTTTATAGGTTATTAAGTCACTTGGTCACTTTGAATATTCCCTTAACAGGGAACACATTGATTGCGCTTTAATAAGCAATAATTGTCACTTTGTCACTTTTATGTTTTGGTGCAATACACGTGTTACACCTTATTTGCAAGTTTGCACATGTTTATGATATATATTGATTTGGTTAATAATTTATTAATTTTATATATTTGTCACGTGGTCACTTTTGTTGTTTCCTGGTGGAACACATGAATTACACTTGATTTGCACTGTTGCACAGACATTTATTGATTTGATTATTTTATTTATTGAGATATATGTTTATTTAGTATGTAGCGCTGCACTATTTATTTATTTATTTATTTATTTATTTATTGATTTAACTCACACTGGTAGGAGGTTAAGTGTTAGCTATAGGGAGAGGGCCCCATCCTGAGCGCTGGAAGTTGTCACTTTTAAATTTAATAGCACGTTTTTTACTCCTTCTGTAATAAGGAGGTGTCACAGCACATTATAAGGAATGTTATATTGATTATTTTTATTGAATTGTACAAGTAGCACATGATTTATGGTTTAAGCACTTCACTATTTAAATGTGTTTTATTTGATATAACTTGGTGGTTAAGAGTTGAGTGACAGCAGCTAAACAAAACAGGTTTGGTTTCCATTGAGCGCAGAAGGATTTTCCTTTCATACATAAACGTAGATATTATAACCTACCTAGATGATCATTTAAAATCAGAGTGCGAAAAATCAAAATTAAAGAACTAATAATCCCAAAAACAGAAATAATAAACAGAAATAATATATTGCAGTTTACCAATCTTTAGATAACTGCATTCGTTTTCTTTTTTAGGCTTTTTTTCCTTTTTCACCTGATGATCTGGCCAGTAAACTCACTTCCTGTCTTAGGGTGTCTGTATTCTGGATGAAGTAGACTCCTTTGACATGCAGCATTGTCAGTCTGGGGAGAGGGTGTTGAACTAGCAGATTTACCGTAGATGGATTTTACTAACAAATTGAACTTGATCTCCAGCTAACATTTTATAAGCAGTTACAGCAGTTTATTCCTTTTGGGGTAAAGGGTTTACATAATTATAAGCTGACCATTGTAAGCACCCCTGTCGGTGTTAAATGGTTTGTGTCAATCCTATACCTGCTACTTTGTGTAGACATCTTGGTCTGTTAAAGTAATTTGAAAAATAACAGACTTACTGTCCAGATCTCAGGGTAAAAACAAAAAAGAAAAGCTTAAAAAAAGACCAAAGTAGCCACCACATCTAAGAACTCTCTGTCTCGACTCTGTCAAGGAAGAACACCCTATGCCTCAGTCAGCAGTATTGCTAATAGTGTTATAATCCCCTGGGATGGAGGACTCTGCATAGCGTCTACATGGCAACTGCACATCCACAATCTACCCAGAGAGATAAAAAAAAATATCCCTCGCTTGTCAGGCCTCCACTCTCAACCTTTAAATTTGCCTCCAGTATGTTGATGTACTCTCCTAATTTGGAAAAACACACCAATCACAGAAATAACAGGCCACGTGGAGTGCCCTAAACCAGACCTTTCGGTATAAATTGCAAAGGCTGTCTAATATATATGTGCTCCCTGTCCCTTTATTTATAGCAGTTGTAAAGTAGTAAAAAAAAAAAAAAAGAGAAAAATATTAAATATACTTACCTCCCCCTGGGCTTCTGTCCGTGGCACCTAGGGATGATTGACAGGCTAACCCTGGAAATTTTGAGTACCCCAAATCTTGCAATAAGACGCTCCAGCAGATTTTGGGATACTTAGCATTCCCCAAGATCTCACTAGAAGGATTGTAATGGCACCCCTGTAGTAAGAAGGCTGGGATTGGGCATATAATGTACAAGAGATCTTGTATTTTACTGCAAAGTCTGCTTTAAGGGAGATTAACAACAACCCTTTAAGACCCCCTAACAGATCTACTGATCACTTTAGCTGTTATTGAAGATAACCTCTGTTTATGAATGTTTTTCATTGTAACCTCATTATCCGTTGCCAGCATTTTGTCAGGTTTACTTAGATCCATTCTGCCAGCTATACAAGGTCTACCAAGTCTTTGCCACATGGGTTCGGTCCCGGTAGAGTGGGGCACCAGCTGCTAGGAAGGAAATCAGCAAACTGACCCTCTCGCTGTATAAAGAACTCATCACCCATGCTGGTACTGTTCTTCCATTGTCTAGCTGCCAGATCATTCCTCTAATAATGGTTGTCCTTGGTGCATACATGTCCTCCTCTTCACCCCCATAACAGGCCTTGTTCTTTAACATGCGCCATATACCACCATGCATCTCTTTGCAGTAACTTCAGACCAGGCCAAGAGCAATTAAAGAGCTCAATTAACACACAATTAGTAATACAGTTTGTCCCTAACTATCTACTGTAGGCTGCCCAGTGCATACCTTCCTCAAAGTCAGAGTCCTTAGAGCCCGTAATCTGGCAGTGTCCTGGCTCTAGGTGAAATTCTCCTTGAGGTTGCTCTGTAGGTTGCTGTGGGTTACATCGTTCCTTCCACCTCTGGTCATACTTCCCATTCAGGACGAAGCCAAACGCACCCAAGCAGAGCCTTCCTCCTTTCTTTTTTTTTTTTTTTTATAGTGGCATAGGGTGGAGGGCAGAGTACTGCACCAAGTTTAACCCTTTCCCCAAATGGGCAGCCTAAAGAATTATCTAGCTCAACACATATAACCAGAGCAACTTGTAAGCATCTGCTTACACCTCTGTATTCCTTGCAACACAGCAGGGATAACATGATCCTGCCAGTCTACTTTCTACAGTAGGTGTGAGAATCCAGTGTCCACAAATTGATGGCCATATTTCAGAAGGGGTCTCTGCAGAAAAGTCAGTTGACCATTAAAATTAGCAAACACAAATATTAAAATACTGAATGTGTTGGAATTTGCATTTCATTCTTACTAATTTCTGTGTACAGAATGAAGAGTCATGTAGCCCCCTTTTGAGGAGTTATGAGAAATAGTCCTCCCCAGACAGGATATTATGCTAGACCTGTAGGTAAATAAAAGAACCAGAACCTACACTAAGTGGAAGAGTGGGTTTGATAATAAAGTTGGCAGTGTTTCCACCCAGGACAGGGCCTCTGTGAACAGAGGGGGTTCCCTTCCTCAGAAATTAAAGTTACAACTAAAGGAAAACTTTTTTTTTTAGTTTTGGATAGAGTGGAGATGAATTAGATTACTTGTCATTTGTTATTGCAGTCTGTGCCCCTGCTAGCGAGATTCACCCTCTATATTTGTCCTGTTTACCATTATCATTGAAAGTGACCCCATATGAAATTTTTATCATTTTTTTTCACACAAATAAAGCTTTCTTTTGTTGGTATTTATTTGCCACTGGTTGTTTTTTCTTTTTGTGCTATAAACAAAAAAAGAGCAAAAAATTTGCAAAAAAAGAAAAGTTTTTCTTTGTTTCTATTATAAAATTTTGCAAGCAGGTAATTTTTCTCCATCACTGATGTGCGTTGATGAGGCTGCACTGCTAGGCAGCACTGATGGGCACTGATAGGCAGCACTGATGGGCACTGATGAGGTGGCACGGATAGGCAGCACTGCTGGGCACTGATAGGAGTCACTGATGATGCTGTACTGCTGGGTGGCACTGATGGGCAGCACTGATAGGCATTGGGCGGCACTGCTCGACAGCACTGATAGGCAGCACTGCAGGGCACAGGTGGTTGACACTGATGGGCACAGGTGGGTGGCACTGCAGGGCACAGGTGGGTGGCACTGCTGGGTACAGGTGGGTGGCATTGATCATCAGGGCACTGATCATCGGTGCCCTGATGATCAGTGCCGATCCCTGCGCTGACAAATGCCGGTTCTCGGCAGTACTTTCCTCACGCTATGACAGTGTGAGGGAAAGTGCAGCCGATAACCAGCAACTGTATTTACTTTGTGATCATCTGTGTCTTTGGACACAGCTGATCACATGGTAAAAGGCCGCCGTGATTGGTCGTTTACCGTATCACGTGATCAGCTATGTCCGTAGGGTGCGCGCCGCTGGGGGGGGGATGTGTTCTGGAATGACGTCCATGGACGTCGTCCCAGGATTACACAACCACGCTGTAGCCGTCCTTCGGCTATAGCATAGTTGGGAACCAGTTAACCAGAAAAGTAGCAGTTCTACTTTAACCAGAAATCTACTCAAAGAACTGCTGCAAGCAGCATAGAAATTTAGAAATTAACCATAAGTATATAGATGCACACCAGTATGGAAATAATACATATATAGTGTGTATGTATGTGTGTGTGTGTGTGTGTGTGTGTGTATATGTGTGTGTGTATATATGTGTGTGTGTGTACATGTCAGAGCAAAGTCCAGTTGCAGGGGCCCCTGAGGCCTGAGGGTGATAACAATGCGGCATCCGTCTTTGTGTTTGGAGACCTTATGACTAAATCAGTGGAGGTGGAGAGATTCTCCAAAGGTTGTTCAATCAGCCTGGCATGCATTTCTCACCCGCATTAACCGTAAGCCTATCTACTCTGCACTTATTTCCTAGTAGTGTTGAATCTCTCATACAACCAGACCTCTAACTACCAGAAGTAGGATGCCTAACCTGGCTGTAGCCTATGCTTTCAGCACAGTCATCCATCAACGCATATGTACAGAGTGTGGGCATTAAGGGAGAAGTGTGGAATAGGAAAATATAAAACACACATTTTCAAGTATATGGCTGCGCTGGCTCTAAGACCAAGAACTGAGTGATCATGTGACTGTTGATCGCTCAGTTCTTGGTCTTCCCTGAGCAGAGTACAGTGACTGTCAGTTACCGTCTCTGCTCTGACTTTTCAGTGCTGGGTTGTGCAGGGGCCAGGAGAGGCTGATTCAGCCAGCATAGCCCCTGGACCAGCTTTAGCCCGCTGTTGGCTGAATCTGGGTCACATGAGAGCAGAAATAAATGCACTCCTGTGACCCAGAAAGGTATGGACAAAAGGCTTTGATTCTTTTAAAGCCCACTCTCCTTGCCACCACTCAAAAGCATTATGTGGGCGGCAAGAGGTAAAGCATACCTATACATTGTCCATTCATAGAAAAGAACAGAGTGGAAGCAGAGTGAGTCAGTGGTAATTACTGGCAGCAAAGCTCTCTGTTTATTGTGAAAGAGAATGTTCCTCTTTACATGAGTATAATTATTGTTTTCCATGGACATTGGACATTTCTTATTTTATTCTTATCTGGTTTCAGTGTTATAATGCTGACTGAAAAGCGCTATCAGAAAACAGACTCCGTTATCAGTTCTGTACATACAAAGGTGAAAGGCGTTTTGGATGCTGATTCAAGAATCTGGGACACAGCTGAATATACAATTCCTTCCCCAGTAAGTTACATTTTCATATAACTGTTGTTTTCCATGTAGACAGCATGTACTGTAAGCTCCAAGGAGCAGGGCCCTCTTGTATTGAACTGTATCTTTGCTGTATTGTCTCCTTTTAATATGTAAAGCACTGAGCAAACTGTTGGTACTATATAAATCCTGTATAATAATAATAATAACTGATTATGACATTTCTGTAGTCATGAGATGACATTCACAGGGTTAAACCTCCAAACGACTGTTGGCTACAATGATTGCTAATATTGGCCAACTGTGAATGTTGATGTACTGATAAAAGTTTGTTAAACTGGCCCTGGATGGATAGAATTTTGAACAGAAATTCTTAGGAAAAGTATTAGGAAAATTCGCAGAAAAGTTATCAGAAAATTTTCAGAACATTTGAATGTCATTTGAAAAATGTCATTAGATTTTAATATTAGGTATTGGAATGAGTTAACTTTACCAAATGAAACCGCATAGACTGTATAGAAATGTATTCATTTGAAAAAATATGTACATCCTATACCAGCAATGGGCAAACTACGGCCCGGCGGACCTTTTAATCCGGCCCGCGGAGAACGTGAGGGGAGCTAGGCTCCTCTCACAGTCCGCCCTGAAGACCGGTGTAGCATGAAAATCTGTCTCCTATGAGGATCTGTCCCCCTCAACGTATCTGCGCATGTGCCGGAGATCGCCGATCGGCTGCTAATGCCTGAAACTGGCACATGCGCAGATACGTCGAGGGGGACAGATCCTCATAGGAGACAGATTTTCATGCTACACCGGAACGGCGCGGGAGCACGGCGAGAGGAACGCGCTGAGCAAAGGTAAGTGAATTGACACAGGGGGGACTTGGGAACTTAATATGGGGGATGAATTAATATGGGGAATGAATTACTATATGGGGGATGAATTACTATGGGGGATGAATTACTATATGGGGGATGAATTACTATGGGGGATGAATTACTATGGGGATGAATTACTATGGGGGATGAATTACTATATGGGGGATGAATTACTATATGGGGGATGAATTACTATATGGGGGATGAATTACTCTATGGGGGATGAATTACTATGGGGGATGAATTACTATATGGAGGATGAATTACTATAGGGGGGGATGAATTACTATATGGGGGATGAATTACTATGGGGGATGAATTACTATATGGGGGATGAATTACTATGGGGGATGAATTACTATATGGGGGATGAATTACTATATGGGGGATTAATTACTCTATGGGGGATTAATTACTCTATGGGGGATGAATTACTCTATGGGGGATTAATTACTCTATGGGGGATGAATTACTATATGGGGGATGAATTACTATATGGGGGATGAATTACTCTATGGGAGATGAATTACTCTATGGGGGATGAATTACTATGGGGGATGAATTACTATATGGGGGATGAATTACTATGGGGGATGAATTACTATATGGGGGATGAATTACTATATGGAGGATGAATTACTATAGGGGGGATGAATTACTATAGGGGGGATGAATTACTATATGGGGGATGAATTACTATATGGGGGAATTACTATTGGGGGACATATATGGGGGATGAATTACTATAGGGGGGATGAATTACTATATGGGGGATGAATTACTCTATGGGGGATGAATTACTATGGGGGATGAATTACTATATGGGGGATGAATTACTATATGGGGGATGAATTACTATATGGGGGATGAATTACTATGGGGGATGAATTACTATATGGGGGATGAATTACTATGGGGATGAATTACTATATGGGGGATGAATTACTATATGGAGGATGAATTACTATAGGGGGGATGAATTACTATAGGGGGATGAATTACTATAGGGGGGATGAATTACTATATGGGGGATGAATTACTATATGGGGGATGAATTACTATAGGGGGATGAATTACTCTATGGGGGATGAATTACTCTATGGGGGATGAATTACTATGGGGGATGAATTACTATATGGGGGATGAATTACTATATGGGGGATGAATTACTATGGGGGATGAATTACTATAGGGGGGATGAATTACTATATGGGGGATGAATTACTATATGGGGGATGAATTACTATGGGGGATGAATTACTATGGGGGATGAATTACTATGCTTACTATGGGGGAATATTACTATACTTACTATGGATGACACATACACATCATTCATCTACTCTTGGTCCGGCCCCCGGGTCCAATATATGAACCCATTGCGGCCCTCAAGTCAAAACGTTTGCCCACCCCTGTCCTATACCTTCAAATTTTCTTATCACTGTGGTCGTAAACTAACGTCGGTTCGACCCACTTATTACAAAAAAACAAACTTTCTTAGAACATTCTTTCCCTATAGATTTTTGTTCAAAATTCTACCCATCTATGGTCAGCTTAGATTTCACTGCTAGATTTTATCATTCCATGCTAAAAAAAACTAACAGAACTCCCCCCCCCCCCCTATGTAATATAATACTGTATTCCAAAAACACAGGGCTTTTTTTGTCAGAGAATAGGTGCAGGTACTCCACAAGGTACAGGGCACTGGACTCCAGGGTGCTTTACAAACAGGGCACAGGAGTGCATTACACACAAGGTGCAGGTTTCCGGAACACCTTACGCACAGGGTGCAGGGCTCAGGAGGGCTTAATGCACAGAGTGCAGAGTTCAGAAGTGTATTATGAACAGGGTACAGGGTTCAGGAGTGTGTTACATGCAGGGTGCAGGGTTCAGCAGTGCATTACTCACAGGGTGCAGGGTTCAGGAATGCAGGGCGCAGGAGTGCCTTATACACAGGTTTCAGGGTTCTGAGGTGCCGTACACACAGGGTGCAGGGTTCAGGATTGCCTTATGCAGAGTGCAGGGTTCAGGAGTGTGTTTATGCACATGTTGCAGAGTTCAGGAATACATATCACACAGGCCAATTTACAAACAAAAATGTTTTACCCCTTAACCCCCCCCCCCCCCCAGTACAGTACAGAGGGTGCAAGTGGGGAAGGTTTTTATTGCAGGCTACAAACTGCTGGTGATAGTATCTAATTTCACATATAAACAAGTATCAGCAAAATCCATTTTAAGGTCCCATAATATACAAGCCCTGATGAAGGGGAAGTGCTAAAACTTCCAAAATATGTTGGCTCTAGTATTCCATTAAGCAAATATTAAAAATATTCTGGACTCTATGATTTACTGATTCTTAAATATTTAGGTCTTCATTGCTGTATGGATCTCAGTAATGGGAACATTGTCACTACGACAGTAGCTGAGGGAAACCTCCGTAACAGGAAAAGATAGCAACAGAAATCTGCTTCTAACCTTCTCCCAGTATTTTTATTACTGTATGTTTCCCTTTTGGAGCTATTTCTATTCGTAGTGAACATCATCATAAGACAAGAAATAAGGGGGAAATCTTAGACAACAGTAAAAACCTGACAGATATTCTTCCCTACTCTATTCCTAATTCCTTGAATAATCATGATCTAAGACCTAATGTAACCTCTAAAGGTCTTACAATGAATACTTTTGTGGGACGAACGACAGAAATCAATAGATTCCTCCATCTATGCTAAACAGTGTCTGAAGGCAGCTGATGTTTTTTCACTGCTTTTAATCCTTTGACAATCTTAATATTTCACAGGGTGGATCTTCATTCTTTGTTCTAACAAACATAATAAAAACAGAAAATCAAAAAGAAGGCAATTGCCCAGAGGTAAGTGCAAATTATACTATTATACAATATCCTTGATATCCTAACAGTAGTATAATAATAGTGTTGTAAAGAGCTACACTTTGTGATAATACCAGGGGGAAACACTTTCATTTGTTAATAGTATGTGAACATTTTTATTATTAAGTGTTGGTTCACACAAGTGCAATTTTTTTCTTGAGTTCTCATCACAATCTCGTCACAATGGAAATCACATCATATTCAATGGTGCCCATTCTCATAAATGCGGCCCAGCACAGTGCGATTTTGGAATAGGTTCCTATGATACCCCCTGTCACATATGGCAGTCAATACCGCCCCTGAAGGTGACCTGTTCAAGTGAATGCAGCTGCAATGGAACCGTGTGTATTGCACACACATACTGTAAATACGTATACACATAAACTCACATACAAACATATACATACATACATACACTCATTCACTTTCTCAATCAGGATGCCGCAGCACCCCTGACAAACTCAAGTGAGACCCCTGTGCAGAGTGCCGGGGCACGCCTGTTGAAAAAGGCTGCTCTAGGCACATGCAGCTCTGTAGTAATACATCAGTCTAAATATCTGAATTTGTCCTAATATCAGCCATCTGTAGTCCTTGTATAAGGAAACAGGTGTGTGAGAGGAAGAAGTAGTAAAGGAGTCAATCAGTTAAAAAAAAGACTGATGTATTATTACAGAGCCGCATGTGCCTAGAGCAGCCTTTCTCAGCACGAGTGCCCCGGCACTCTGCAAAGTGCTGACAAGAAGCATGCTGATAGGAGGAGGAAACAGAGTGACAGAGAGATGAACTCATCTCTGTGCTGCTTTTGCTTTCACTGTCCAGGGACCTAGGCTCAGAGGAATTCGATTGACTAATGAAAATCATCGAACTGAGGACACCTAGCAGCAAAAAAAGTACATGGGGGAAATCTCTAAACCAGCCTTCCTCAACCTTTTTAATATGGAGGAATCCTTGAAATAACTGTCTGGTCTCAGGGAACCCCTGATAATAATTACTACAGTATGTCTACAACTCACAATACACTAATGTGGTTGTCACTGGGAAGAATGCTGTTTACATTTGTGGTAATTGTGAAGAATTTCCTCTTACAGATGGCTAAAACGATCATTGGTGTCAGCTTCATGGTTATTGGCCAATATGTCTGGGAGTGAGAAGACAATAACTTGGATTGAAAGGAGTGTAATTCTAATAGGAAATAGCATACAGCTGTTGTAAAGGATTAATTATTTTTTCTAAAATAATAAACATGTCATACTTACCTGCTTTGTACAATGGTATTGCATAGAGTGGTCCCATACCTCCTCTTCTGGGGTTACCTGCCAGTGCACTCGGCTCCTCCTGTTCTGTGTGTGCCCCAATAACTAGCTGTGTGTTATGGGGGAACACGTGCAGGCATTCTCCCGAGTCGCGCTATGTACATCCATAGACACACACACAGTGTGGCTCGGCCCCGCCCCTACTCCCTCCTCACAGGATTTGATTGGCAGCAGCAATGCTGCCTCTGTGTCCTGTGAGATCAGGACAGAGCCACTGCAGACAGGCACAGTGCTGGATTGATACAGAAATCAGGTAAGTAAAGTATATAGGGAGATGGGGAGATGCAGCTATTGGGACTTTTTTTTACCTTAATGGAGGAAGCTCTTGGAGATCACATCTGTATATAACTTCAGACTGCCAGTGATTTATTTTTCATTGTATTGCATCACAATTTATTCTTGGGGAAATGTTAGAATGCCTTGAAGGAATACCCCACCATACAGTTTGCAGGTTCAGACCTTTTTATTAGATGTACATTCATGCATGAATTTACTCTTGATACACTTTAGGGCTCATGTACACTGCAGCTGATAAATTCACATTTAGGAGCTGTTTGGCGTTTTTTTCAGCAGCCCCTGAACTCTCCCTAATGTTTTCTTATGTGTCCATTTACACATCTTCATTTATAGTCGTTCACAGGCATTTGAGTTTACAGTCGTTTTTTTGAATGCAGAAAACTTGCGTTCAGCAGTCGATTTTATCAGCTTTTCAAACGCAAAACACTTGTAGATGCGGCTAAATGTGGCAAATCGCGTTTATATGCGTTTGCGCCTGAATTTTTTTTTTAACTCTTCCAGTTCCCGATGCTGTCCGGAGCCTTTTTTCATCATGAAAAATGCATGCAAAGTGTTTTCAAGGTACTCAGATGGACAAACACTGAAAACAGGATGTTTCCACCAAGCTTGTCACACATTGTAATGACCAATTCACACCTCAGTCCTCTCCCACCCTTGGAAACAAAAGATATGTTAATGACCATTCACACCTCTAATGCCTCATGAAGACCCCCTGCCAGGTGACCTTAATGACTCACTGAACCAAACCCCTTTCCCGCCCTTGGAAACAAAAGAAATGTTAATGAGCAACTCCCACCTAAGCTAAAATGAACACATACTGCTCTCTCTGCTACTTCTCTCTGTATTTCTCTGAAACAGTCTGAAATAGTTAATAATTTACCAGTTTTCAGTGCATTCTGTGCATTTGGGAGGTTCTCCTGTGCTTATCTTTAAAAAACGCTTCTAAACGCAAACACACATAAACGCGTTATGCAAACGCGGCTAAACAGACGTTTTTTAACCTACGTTTTCAGCAGTCAGTTTCCAGCGTTCAGAAGTGTCCCGTGTACATGGGGCCTTAGTTTGAAGAGAATACACTCCTAACATGGTTGATAGAGGTTGAGAAATACCTATATGTTTAATTCAGCTGTATTGTAGGTAATATAAAAATGATTTATTCAACGCTGAAGTACTTGCTTTTCTTCTTTGTAGTTTCCAAGCCCCAAAGCAATTTGTTCTCAAGACGATAGCTGCAAAAAAGGTCATGCTGACCCACAGAGTAATGGTATGTTCTGTGTTTCATATTCATGCTTTGTTGAAAATTCAGCTGTTTTGTATATGAGAAACCTGGCAGGCAAGGTTTACTAGGTCACAATGAACATGAATGCTTGAGCCTGCTGTGGTAATATGTATAAAGAAGGCAAATGCAGTCAGTAAGAACAGTAATAATCAGTGATTTGGCTGTAAACGGCAGACAACATCCAGACATCCAGAGCTGTCATACAATGAGGAACAGAGAAGGCACAGAGGTTATACAGATGATTTGACTCTAGAGTTGTCTGGATGAACTTTTTTTCTCCATTCAGTTTGTAACATGCACTATTGGAAGAAAGTTGCATCATGCCAACCATCCTCATAAGTCTATAGTCATCATAGTGCATAATTGCACTTTATCAAAGCTGCAAATGCTTCCTACCGGACCCAGAACCAGTACACTTATAAACCTTTAGGTTGTTATACCAACGTGTCTATAACTCAGGTTTCAGCTGTGCAGCCTGGCTAGACCCACCACTGCCTATACTCCTATTGTCTAAATTCTGATTAAACCAATGAGTGATGGTAGGAACTGCCATATATTATAATGGCAAACACTATCAGTACTTCACTTTGTGCAATGGCAGACTGGCATTATATTATTGGGCAGTTCCCCACCATTATCTTCTGTTTGTACTTAGACTTTAGCTGTATAAAAGCATAGGCTGTGGTTATCATGGGAAGATCATGCATTAGAAAGCTGGTTTATGAAAACATACATGTATGCTATCTTGGAGGTAATACTGGTACTGAGGCAAAAAAATAAAAACATAATTTATTCGGTAAGTTAATGAAATGGACTTATCCTAATGGTCACTGAGGTCTGTCCGTTTTCCTATTTGCCCTGATTACGTCAACATTTATAGAATAGACTAACTGCACTGTAGCAATTTTTAGAGTAGAACGCATTTTAAAAACATATTGAAAAAAACATCTATTTATTTATTTTTTATTTATTACACGTACTTCTATAATGCTGTCAATTTACACAGCGCTTTACATATATATTGTACATTCACATCAGTCCCTAACCGCCAATTGGCGTACAATCTAAGGTCCCTAACTTACATTCATACATACACATACTAGGGCCAATTTTAGACAGGAGCCAATTAACCTACCAGCGTGTCTTTGGAGTGTGGGAGGAAACCGGAGTACCAGGAGGAAACCCACGCAGGCACAGGGAGAACATGCAAACTCCAGGCAGGGGGTGCTGTAGTTGGGATCTAGCTGTGAATGTAGACTAGGTTGCACTCAGGCATGAAAGTGTAATTATAATAGTGCATTGAAGTAGGTTATTGTAGTTGCCCTCCAAAAGAGAAGAAAAGGGGAAAGAACATCTAGATGGTTTACCTGGTTGTGCCTACATACCTTTCTCCTATGGTAGTTGCTCTAAAGTTGAAGGTTATAGGTATGGTAGTGCACATGCACGTTCTCAGGGGTACGCCTGAGGACATGCATGCGCACGAAACGCATTGAGTGGAGCCTTACGTGCTAACGTCATGCCTCCGTGACCTTGGTATGTGTTTGTAACACGTTATATATCATTCCACATGGATTGTTTGTACTCCTTTTAATAAATACTACACTATATGTTGAATCTTGGGCTCCTGTGGTGAGCTTCTCTCTTTAGGAGGACCCCCCCCCCCTTTTTTTTTTTTATCTGAGGTTTACCAGTACTCATTGGAGAAGTCTGGTCTGCACACATGGATCCTTGAGTTTTCTCCTATGTGGTCCGCATTAATGTAACTTTACCAGTAGCTTTCTGGTGAGTGCACAACCATTAGCGGTGGTAAATTCCCTCACTGGATTTAGAGCACTTTTTTGGTTATTCAACACTGGTATTGCTGTGACTTGTAGTACCACGAACACTTTCTTCATTAGTGTCTCCCCACTTTATTTCATTATTGGATGGACCACTCAATTACTTCAATGTTATTGTTCACACACTTTTATTGACAATTTTGTTCATGTGTTTTTATTGCACTTAATGATGACATTTAATGTTTAGCGCTGCACTTTACTATACAAGTTTTATGGGATTTGTTGCCTTTACCCTTTGTGCTAGTGGCTCCTAGATATGCGTGCTCGCCATATACAGTTGTGGCCAAAATTATTCAACCCCCAATGCTGTAAAGGGGTTTAGGGACTATAGTGTACATTTGGAATTGTATTCAGAATCAAATCCTACAAGGACGTTGTAACTACCCAAATGCAACTAAAATGACATCAATTGTTTATGTAATACAGTAGTAAATGGTTCTTATGTGGTTTCTTCATTGCCACAATTATTCAACCCCTTAAAGACTACCACTCTGAAGAACAGAGGTTCATACAGGTGCTTTCCATCAGGTATTGAAAACACCTGTGGATGTCACCGAGCAGCAATCAAGCATAATAAGCACCAATTAGGCAGCTTTAAAATGACTGTGATACTCAGCTCCTTCTAGACATTTACTGGTGTGGTTACAAACATGGTGAAGGCAAGAGAATGGTCCAGGAAGACAAGAGAAGAGGTGATTTCTCTTCACAGGAAGGGCAATGGCTATAAGAAGATTGCAAAGATGTTAAACATACCAAGAGACACCTTAGGAAGCATCATTCGCAAATTCAAGGCAAAGGGCACTGTTGAAACGCTACCTGGTCGTGGCAGAAAGAAGATGCTGACTTCGACTGCTGTGCGCTACCTGAAGCGTAGAGTGGAGAGAAGTCCCCGTGTGACTGCTGAGGAACTGAGAAAAGATTTGTCAGATGTGGGTACAGAAGTTTCAGCCCAGACAATAAGACGCACACTGCGTAATGAAGGCCTCCGTGCCAAACTCCCAGGCGTACCCCCTTGCTGTCTCCAAAGAATAAGAAGAGTCGACTGCAGTATGCCAAAAGCCATGTGGACAAACCACAAAAGTTGTGGGATAGTGTTTGTGGACTGATGAAACAAAATTAGAACTGTTTGGGCCCATGGATCAACGCTATGTTTTGGAGGAGGAAGAACAAGGCCTATGATGAAAAGAACACCTTGCCTACTGTGAAGCATGGTGGAGGTCAATCATGCTTTGGGGCTGTTTTGCTTCTGCAGGTACAGGGAAGCTTCAGCGTGTGCAAGGTACCATGAATTCTCTTCAGTACCAGGAGATATTGGATGGAAACGTGATGCAGTCCGTCACACACCTGAGGCTTGGGAGACGTTGGACCTTTCAACAGGACAATGATCCCAAGCATACCTCCAAGTCCACTAGAGCATGGTTGCAGAGGAAAGGCTGGAACATTTTGGAGTGGCCATCGCAGTCACCAGACTTAAATCCGATTGAGAACCTCTGGTGGGACTTAAAGAAAGCAGTTGCAGTGCGCAAGCCTAAGAATGTGACTGAACTGGAGGCCTTTGCCCATGAAGAATGGGCGAAGATACCCGTAGATCGCTGCAAGACACTTGTGTCAAGCTATGCTTCACGTTTAAAAGCTGTTATAACTGTAAAAGGATGCTGTACTAAGTACTAAGATTGAATGTCACTTGGGGGTTGAATAAAACTGATAATGCTGTGAGCACAGAAAAGACATTTGTGGTTATTTCATTATAACTGTTATGTTATATTTGTCTGACCTACAAGTGCCTCTTTAATGTAAATGTAAGCAAGATGACTGAATGATCAAAAGCAATGTCAAACTGGCCAAAACACTCAATTTCAGTGGGGGTTGAATAATTTTGGCCACAACTGTACTTTGCAATTAGTTATAGTAAACCCTGAAGAAGGGAGGTGTGGTTATAGTAGTACACTGAAGAAGGTAGGTGTTGTTACAGTAGTACACTGAAGAAGGTAGGTGTTGTTACAGTAGTACACTGAAGAAGGAAAGTGTAGTATAGTAATATACTGAAGAAGGAAGGTGTAGTTAGAGTATTACACTGAAGAAGGAAGGTGTAGTTATAGTAGTACACTGAAGGAGGAAGGTGTAGCTTTAATAGTGCAGTGAAGAAGGGGGTATAGTTACAGTAGTACACTGAAGAAGGGAGGTGTAGTTCTAGTAATACACTGAAGAAGGGAGGTGTAGTTCTAGTAATATACTGAAGAAGGAAGGTGTAGTTTATAGTAATACACTGAAGAAGAGGTGTAGTTCTAGTAATACACTGAAGAAGGGAGGTGTAGTTATAGTAGTACACTGAAGAAGAGAGGTGTAGTTATAGTAGTACACTGAAGACGGGAGGTGTAGGTATAGTAGTACACTGAAGAAAGGAGGTGTAGTTCTAGTAGTACACTGAAGAAAGGAGGTGTAGTTCTAGTAGTACACTGAAGAAAGGAGGTGTAGTTCTAGTAGTACACTGAAGAAGGGAGGTGTAGTAGTTACAGTAGTACACTGAAGAAGGGAGGTGTAGTTACAGTAGTACATTGAAGAAGGGAGGTGTAGTTACAGTAGTACACTGAAGAAGGGAGGTGTAGGTATAGTAGTACACTGAAGAAGGGAGGTGTAGTTATAGTAGTACACTGAAGAAGGGAGGTGTGGTTATAGTAGCACACTGAAGAAGGAAGATGTAGTTATAGTAGTACACTGAAGGAGGAAGGTGTAGTTATAGTAGTACACTGAAGGAGGAAGGTGTAGTTTTAATAGTGCAGTGAAGAAGGGGAGGTATAGTTACAGTAGTACACTGAAGAAGAGAGGTGTAGTTATAGTAATACACTGAAGAAGGGAGGTGTAGGTATAGTTGTACACTGAAGAAGGGAGGTGTAGTTATAGTAGTACACTGAAGAAGGGAGGTGTAGTTATAGTAGTAGTACACTGAAGAAGGAAGGTGTAGTTATAGTAGTACACTGAAGAATGAAGGTGTAGTAGGTATAGTTGTACACTGAAGAAGGGAGGTGTAGTTCTAGTAGTACACTGAAGAAGGGAGGTGTAGTTATAGTAGTACACTGAAGAAGGAAGGTGTAGTTATAGTACACTGAAGAAGAGGAAGGTGTAGTTTTAATAGTGCAGTGAAGAAGGGAGGTATAGTTACAGTAGTACACTGAAGAAGGGAGGCGTAGTTCTAGTAGTACACTGAAGAAGGGAGGCGTAGTTCTAGTAGTACACTGAATGAAGAAGAGAGGTGTAGTTCTGTGCTTTTACTGTACTGCAGATCAACAGTAATGTGTGAAGGTAGCCCTTAATAGTACAGAATATTGGAAGCTTTTATAAACCAAGCTGGTTTCCCTGATTCACATCTGCCCAGCAATGACATGCTAAGGAACAGAGATTTAAACTATGAATAGTTATATGAATCCATGTGTGTGTGTGTGTGTGTGTGTAGAAAACAATATAAAAGTATATATGTTCACTCAGTTGTGGTTGTGTTTTTCTTTTTAATGATTATTTTAATTTTTAATTGTAACACGGTTATATAATGTGGATACCTTAGCTATAAATAGTAATTGCTGAGCTATATACTGTATAAGTGTGCCATGAGAGACAATACCAGAACATGCATTGTCTGTGGCAGGTGTTACATTTAAATCTCTTCACTTGTATCTTGTAGGCATTCAAACAGGGAGATGTACACAGTATAACTCCACTTTTAAAACTTGTGAAGTGAGAGCATGGTGTCCTGTGGAGTCCAAAAGTACTCCAGAGTAAGTAGTCTGTTTTATATGCCTAGTCAAAAATGTATGTAGTGTTTACTCCTGGAAGGGTTGCTGAGAATATTTCCAGGTCTCCTTTATTAGTACAGAGGCTGCCAATCACAAGCACAGCTTCATTCTCACCAACAATTCAGGCTCGGTCTAGGGAGATGTCTTTTTAGAATTTATTGCTGAATAACTTGAACAGGAGATGGGTTCAGGGTCACAGGCTCCAAAACAACAATACCAATCAATAAGAGGACGATATTTAATCATCAACTGCTGTCACACATGGAAGTCCCGAACTACAATCCTATACACAATGTCCCAGTGACCATATACCTCTCAACTTCTACCAGGAGATCCTCCATGAGGGCGACAAAAGATCCTTCTCCAGACCAGGACTTCTGGCAGTGTCCTCTAGTTTTGATCGTTTACTGATCTTCCCCAGGCCCTCAGCTTATCTCCTGTTGAGGCCCTGACAAAGCCTCTGCAATCTTCTTCACACCCACAGCCCAGCTCCTTCTGAAGCCCCAGACTACAATCCTTAAGTCAGTAAAGCTGTCTCCAAGGAAGAGCAGCAGCCTCAAGAGAACTGGAACTGTCCTTAAAGAGGAAAGAAACATTCTGGTAGGGCCCCCCAAATATTTATCACCTCTCCAGCCACCTTCTGGACACCTTTTTCAAGGGGATGGCTGGAGCTTGATAAATATTCACACTGGTCATTTGAATCTCCCTGCCCTATAGTCTGGAAACTTCTTCCAGAGACAAGTAAGAGGAATCAAACACCCAGCTCAGGAATTCCTGAACAGACAAAAACAATGAATCACTACTCTACTCAATACAGTGAAGCCAAAACTAAATTTAGCTAATTTAACTAAATAACGGCCTAACTAGAGAAGAGCACTACATATATACAGTACATAGAAATTCTTTGCTGCTTATATATTGAAATTCTTTGCTGCATCCACTCTTGTTCTACTTGGTAATGGAAGAAATGTTTTATTACTAGCTGTGACGCATCTATAATAGTGTATTGTGTGTGTACTGTACTTGTCAAACTGAAAGGACCCCTCATAACAAATTCACAATAGAATCTGTGTTCCCATGAAATAAAATTCCTGCATTGTTTTCAAATCATGGTTGAATGTATGTTTCTGAAGATGAATATGTACTTTGTAACAGATACTGTATATTTATTTCCATGAACTGAAAACTTAAACTGTGTACTGATGATAATCTGATTTGTGAAATTATTATATTGTAAGTGTAGGTGTCCAGCCAAAACTCCTTTTTTTTTTTTTTTTTTTGAAAGGCGGAGAAAGGTTAGACACCCTGCCATGTTTCTGAGATTTGTTTTTACTTACTTTCCTAGTGACAACAGCTTAACTAGACAGGAACTTAGGGACAATCTGAAACAGGGACTCCGACTGAAATTAAAAACTGACAGGGGTTCTAGATTCTTCTCTACTCACCTGAAAGAAAGGGTTTAATTTCTCTCTGAGTTGCTGCTGAAGGTTTGTCAAGGGATGTGTTTTGGGGTTAACTTCCCCCTTTTCTGTAAATACTAAAGTTTGATACTCCTAACCTGTATCAACACTGCAATTTTGGCACAAAATCAGGGCTTTGATCTGTCTACAGTGCTTCCTCAACCCCTAAGCTCCTAGGTCATAAGAATGTTTTTTGCTGAAAGTACAAAAGAATCTCCAAAGATCTTACTATGCAGCAGCGTTCAGTGCAAATCTTGATATATTGTATATTAAGCTGACTTTTTCTAATTGTATGTATATTTTTAACTGTTTATTTTTTTTTGTCTTAGCCATGATTAACAAAGGAAATACATACAAAACCAGTATATTATTGTTATTAAGTGCCACCAAGTTGTTGTCAACTTCTGGAAACCATATGGATAGTGTTTCTTCGGAATATTATGCCTTCTGTTTGGGTCTAAAGTCTTCGCAATAGCAGGTTCATAATTTCTGTGACTGTATCCATCCATGCTGGTGAGCACTGTTTTTAAGTGTGTCATTGATAATATAATTCATACTATGCCCCTCAAAGGAAGTAGCGGACAAATAATGTTAGATCTTCTGTGTGGCATCTTGCCTTGGAACCGGTTGTAGGACGGCTATCATGGAGATATAGTGCCTATGTTTGAAAACCATGGTTGTTGGGTGAGAGTATTAGATGCTAATAATTTTGAGGAACATTGAACTTGTTTGAACATTTCACTTAATGAAATCTTTTATGTTCGGTATTGCAATATATTTCCCACATGGCAGATGTTTCTGGATGAGATCCACAGTTTTAGAACAGTGACGGAAATTACCATAGTCTGGGCAGTTCTGATCTTATACAGTAGAGGCATCTCTTTTGAAGATCTTTTCTAGGTCTTTTATCCTTGCTCTTCGAAGGGACAGCATTTTTTGATTGCTGTATCATTTATTGGTATTAAGGTGTCCTTTTATCATGCAGCGGTAAATGACTGCTGCTCAGTTCTTCTGCATTCTCAGAGGAGAGAGTTCTCCTCTGCCTTTTTATGCAGCGGTGTAGATCGCTTCTCCGAATGAAGAGAGAAGCGATCTAAAAAAGCTTTGAACGCTAGATAATGGCTGCTTTTACTGCAATCTCATGAGATTACAGTAAGAGATCAGTCAAACACTGTTTACTAAGAAGCAGTAAATTGCCACTGCTTCGTTTGCAGTTCCCCTGATTCTCCAGCTCTGGGCTGGATTATCTGGAGGGAGAACACAGATCACCAGAGAAGGGCTGACATCACTCCTTCATACACTGGCTGTCTGTGTGCTGAGATGATCATACACTGGCTGTCTGTGTGCTGAGATGATCAGTGGAGAACATGTTCTCCGCTGATCATCTCTGTTTCCTAAACCACTAATGATCGGAGATCAGCAATGATCCTTAGGATCGCCGCTGATTTCTGTTTCATAAAAGGACACCTAACTGAGCCTAACTGGGCCAAGGAGACAAAAAATACTCTATTGTTTCTTTTCCAATAATATTTTATTGAAAAATTGACTCTTATTTCTATGTCTATATAACTGCCTTTGAAATAAGCTGTCTCCCCTATTGTCGGAACCTTAATTTTTTTTATATACAGTACAGCTGAAGTCCCTTCTTTTCACTTTGTTCTTTAACTTGCTCTATGAGGCTCTGGAGATTCTTGAGGCTTACTCCACCAGTCTTATTTATTTATTTATTTCAGGTACTTATATAGTGGCGTCAATTTACGCAGAACTTTACATATATATTTTTACATTCACATCAGTCCCTAACCCTCAGGGGGTGTACAATCTAAGGTTTTGAGACCTCTTAAATCTTCCTCTGGCTCTGCTTCTCTCAATATACAGTATGTTTAGCATACAGGTTGAATAAATACTGTGAGAGTATGCAGCCTTGTCCGACTCCTTTTGCTGATACTGAGCAGTCTGTGTTTCCACTTTTTTATCATGACTGTAGCTTCTTGATCAGTGTAGAGATTCTTCATAAGAAACATGAGATGTTCAGGCACACCTATTTTCCTGAAGACTTCCATAATTTCACATGGTTAACATAGTCGAAATCTTTGCAGTAATCAGTGAAGCGCATGTTGACTTTCCTCTTGTATGCCTTGACTTTGTTTAATTATCCAGCATGCATCTGCTATAATGTCTCTACTTTCTGTGTTTTCTAATTCCAGCTTGAACTGTACATATGATAATTCTTTTATAGTGTAAGGCTTTAGTCCGTGTTGAATAATCTTGCTGGCATCCGATAACAGGGAAATAGTTTCAGGTCTTTTTTATTTGGTATTGAAAAAAAACTGATCTCTGAACACTTTATTGATTGAGTGCTTTTCCATACTTGTTGGTATAAGTTTATCCTCATTATAATTTATTCTTTTTCAGTTGCTTGCAGAAATTCTGGCACAATATTATCAGTTCCTGTGGCCTTCCTTTTTGACAGTGATCTGAGTGTCAGTCTAATTTTATCCTTCAAAACCAGTATACATTCCTTTAACCCCTTCCCATCATTGTATATCTATGTCCCCAGCACGATGTCCTGTACTGGGGATGTGTTTATAAACGGTGCAAATAATGGCTGTCACTGATAGCTTGGTCGTCACTGACAATCAAGAACCAATCAGCATGGGTGCTGATTGTGTCATAACTATGTCAGCCTATGGATGAATACTGCAACCTTCAGGCTGCAGGGGTCATCTACAGTGCCATATTTTTAATGATGAATTAAATTACAGTATTTAAAAAAAAAATAATCAAAAGAACTAAAACACAGACTATTTTTTTCATTTATTTTGCATTTGTAAACCTATAACGTGAAAAAGGGTAACAAATAAAAGCATTACATATCCTTACAAAATTGTAATATTGATTTAGGCATGCAAATTAGTCATAGAATTATTGTCAAGGTACCGGATGCTATCACTGCTGCATTTGACCTTGGATCTAGTCATCGATGACTTCTGGGCCAGAACCAGTTAGAGCATTATAGATAGCATCTCAAAGTCAGTCAATGCAGGGCTTTAGAGGCAGAGAAGGATATGAAATGTACACAATGTATATAGAGTGTGGTAAGTTGCTTACAGGAGACTCAAGTCAATCAGAAGTATGCGACTCACTCTGCATCGTTCAAGAGATATCTGAGACATGGGCTATGGGGGAAGGATTAGAAAATAGGTCTGGCTACTTTTGCTATTTATGAGAAAGCAAGCCACGAAAGAAAAAAAAAGGGAGATTTAGACCCTGACTCCAAATATCAAAATACGCACAACAATCATGTTTTTAAATTTTGCACTATTTTTGATTTTTTTTTTTTTTTTAAATGGTTTCTTTTTGGTTTTTTTTTTTTTTTTGTTCTTTTTCGATTGTTGTTGCATATTTGCCCTTTGATTAGGAAGGAGTACCTGAAACTCTGTTTTCCTTTTTTGTTATCATCAGGCTTTTATTGCTGTTTTATTACTTTTATTGCTGTCAGAGCTCTTACAGGGTAGACTC